GATTAAGAAAAAAGAATTAAGCATTTAGTGAAAAAGATGTGTGTCATGTCCACAACAGACAAACGGTCAAAAAAACATGGGCCTGCAAGCACATATTCAAAGACAGATTGACAGAAGTGAGAGTGAGAGAGAGAAAATGAGACAAACTAATTTGACAAATGGTGGAGAGCACACAAAAATTCTTTGTACTACCCTTATAGCTACTTAACCTGAAATTGTTATCAAAATAAAGTTACCAAAGCACTGGTGGTATAGTAGTTAGCATAGCTGCCTTGACAGTAAAGTTGTAAGAATAAAAATTATTGCGGACTGAGGCAAGAGTTCTCAAGTTCCAGGCCAGCCTAGGCAAGACAGTAACACCCTGTTCCCAGAAAAACAAAAAACAAAATAACTATTGCTGTGCTACACGATCTAAAACACTGGCAGCCTCCTAATAAAAACAGGATACCTTGTTCAGAAAAGGCAACTCTAGCTAAATTGACAAATGTAACAGATCCTAAAACAGAACTCAATTTTGTCTCTCTATTCTCAAACTAACAAGAAAAAAATAAATCTCAGAAGTACACAGAATTGCCACTTTCTATTGATTTGTATATGCCATACATTAAAGCTAATGGCCAATATTAAGTCTTGTAGTATAAAAATGTCTGCAAATTTAAGCTAGCAGAGATATACAAAGTTCTAAATGCTGATGAAACAAAATATTCATATAGCCAGTCTGTGGACAGACAACAAAGCCCACTCAAAGCACAATGCGATTTAATAGCTTGGAGTCTATAAATGGGACTTTTTTTCCTATTAGCAGAAAAGAAATAAGTGACTGAAGATACCTGTACCAACTAACTCAAGCAGTAAGAAAAGCAAAGCTACACAGAAAATAGAAATACTAGGTTTCTATTTAAGAAAGATTAGAAAATTATATGTTATGGTATTACAACTGGCTTCTCTAGGAGCTATATTTATCTATATTTATCACTTTAAAATGCAAGAAATATAACATGAGTTATATTTCTTCACTTGCTTTTTAAACATTACTGAAAAGTCAAGGTATGTAGAACAAAAAGGATATCTCACCTAGGTTTGTTTTCATATAATGATCCCTCCAGATTTGAACGGAGGCAAACACCATTTTAGGCTGTATGATTTACTTTTAAAGAATTTAAATGATTTGGTATAAACAATCCAAATTTGGAAGGTATTTAATGATTACCTGCTCAAAGCTCTCTAATCAATAAAAGTGGAGCTGAAGGATCTTGAAACAATCAAATCCATTTGTGGAAAACTATCATGAAGTAGGTAAAATAGTGAAAATGATATGCAAATCTATTTCTGAAATCATTAATTTCAAGTAAAAATAACAGCGCCAAAGCCCAAACACACTGCACAACACGGGTGCACTTACATATACATTCAGGCAATACACATACATACATAAAACAAAATGAAGATAAAAATTTAAGGGGTTAGAGAGATGGCTCAGCATTTAAGAGCACTGACTGATCTCACAGAGGACCCGGGTTTGATTCCCAGCACCCACATGGCAGCTACAAACAGTCCTTAACTCCAGTTCCAGGGGATCCGAAGCTTTCTTCTGACCTCCGTGGCATTGCACAACAAGGGTGTACCCACATTCATGCAGGCAATACACTCATACACATAAAATAAAAATAATAAATAAAAAAGAAATTCAGAAATTGAAGTTAATGAAGCATACTTTTTTAGTACAGACTGATACCAATCTGGAGTTCAAGCTTTCTAAATCTATTAGATGGGAAATAATAAAGAAACTTAAATGAAACATAAAAGGACATGATACAAATAGAAACTATTAAAAAGTAAGCTGGGTGTGGTGGCACACTCCTTTAATCCTAGCACTCTAGAGGCAGTCAGGAAGAACTGTGTGAGGAGGAGGCCAGTCTGGGCTAACTAGTAAGTTCCAGGCCAGGTGGGCCTATGGTGTTAAAAAGAAGGTGTGTTATTTA